TCTTGTGTGAAGAAAAATGAACTTTCACTCAATCCTCCCCTTAAATTAGTAATATTTATAATTAATTATTAGTAATCAGAAAAAAAGGAAAAATTCAACTCAACCAAGAATTTTTCTATACTGAGAAACATACAGTGTGTATTTTCTCCAATAAAAGACACATGGAATTCTCAACAGTGCAGCAGGTTCAGCATCTTCCATTTCTTTCCAGTTCAATCTCTCACTGGACATTTTGAGTGGTTGTGATGAACCTATTGGATTTGAAGAGTCTCTTAATGATCTATCACAAAGTGAACTAATGAGAGCGCCACACTTGATGGTGGAATATAAACTTGGTATACTGTTATACAATGTGCTATTCATGAAAACAGGCTACATCTTGTGTATAGTTGTGGGTTCTGTTGTTGCTGTTGTTGTGTTGTTGTTATAATTTGATGGACACAATATTAAAAGTACTGGTGCATGAAAAATTTTGCCTAAATAGTATCAACAACCCCTTGAAATCATTTGAATCTTTGTTTTATGATCATGCTATAATCAAAAGTATTAAAGGGAAATGATGTTAAAACTCCAAATTAAAATAGCCCTCTATGTCTTTAAAAATTGTTGCTCATGAATATTATAAAATTGTCTATAGGTTCCAATTAAACCTATTTTCTAGGTATTCCATATATGTAATTTTTAAAAAATCGGTATTTGAATCTGAAAACTTCACAGTTGCATCTTTCACTATAAACATCTGCTATTTATTTTGGTGATATTTCAAATTGAGAACATTATATTTATATACTTAATCTTTTTTCAGTATAGTCAGTTAATACTTATGAGAACAGTATTTGTTGTATTGATGCCATTTTAGAATTATAGCGATTATTAGATTCTTTCATGTTGAAAAGTGTAAAAAAGAAAGAAAGTGAGGTTTTTTCCTACCAGCTATTAAAACACATGGCAAAGCAATGAATAAACAGTATAATACCAGGCTCCCAAATCAATGAATAGACCTTTAGAAGAGATTGCTTCGAAAATAACATTAAAATATAGAATAACCGAATCTGATGAATAAATGATCATAAGTCAGTCAGGGAAGGAGTGAATAATGCAACAGAGTGTGGAGAAATCAATAGCCCCTGCTTAGACTATCATCCAAAGTCTTTCTGTTGCCCAGCTATTTTGGCTTATCTCCTTTTCCCACCTCATTTAATAACCCTTTTGGCTCACTCTGTCCCACCTTCCAAAAGCCATCTTTCTGTCTCTCAAACATGCTAAGCTTGTTCTTGCCTCAGGGCCTTGAGGACCACTTCCTCTGCCTGATGGCCCATTATATTCAAAGGACACCTCCTTAGAGATGGCCTATCCCTGAGAATCACGCTGGAATAGCACCTCCCACACCAGGCACTCTATTAACAACACTGTCACTCTCAAAATTAACATGTTAATTGTCACTGACTCCAAATGCAAGCTCCCTAAGAATGGGGACCTTATTTCCTTGTTTCTGAGTGCTTAGTGTCTACAAGAGCTCTAGGCACTTAGTAGGTAGGGACATATGTATATGTGTGTACACAAGTCTGCATGCATGCATAAGTGTATATATATGTACATACACATATGTGGATAACTGTGTATATATGTATATATATATATATATATATATATATGTATTTATGTATATTCAAAATGAAAATAAGGATAGCAAATTAGTCAACATGAATTTGTCTTAAATTTTGTATTAAATGTACATTTTAATAAATAAATATTCATCATAATGAATGTAGTGGAACAGCAAGATACTCTGTTATAGATTTATTAATAACAGTGAGAGATCTATTGTTATTCATCATCATCATGTAACATCATCATTTAATTATACTCTTATCCTCACCACTTATTTTTATCATCTTCATCAACCACACTGCAAATAGAGCATGGTTAAATAAAGGACACTCTTTCAGAGCTAGCTTTCAATTCCAATTGAATCTGTACCCTTTTACATACTTTGATTCCTGCTTTCCCTACAAATTCAAGGCCCCAGTGGAAAGCAGGCAGAGGTGACTAATCAGCAAATGATTCTCCTTATTGAAAGACCAGCCTGAACTTGCCCATTTTAACAGAATCTGGGAGCTCTTTGCCTGACCTTGTACCTGCTTTTCTCCCACCTCTTCCCACTGTTTCCATAATGCCTCCCATTCTGCCTGGTCACCCCGTCTGCTATCATGTCTTACCCTAGTTGTTTTCCCATCCCCACTGTGAAATGAGGGGTGTTTTGGGGGGAGCCTGCTATAAGGATTATAGAGGGAGAGAAAAACTATTGTTGTGACTGAAATAAGAAAATGATGGGTGAGAATCTGTAAAATACAGTTAAAATTTTGGAGTTGGATCATTCAAGATCTGAGAGCTGCACAACACAATCTTGTTTTTCAAAAAAAAAAAACAGGCTATAAATGATGACCTCCTTCTTTATAATTTTCTTGTATATTTTGCATCATAAAACAACCAGCCAAAGTCCACAGGAGGGTGTGCATCTTTGTGGGGTGTGTCTCCCTGAGTTTTTTGTCAGGTCACTTTTATAAAAGGATTGACGGAAATTTTTTTTCAATATTCTTTCATTGTTCGAGGCAGTTTAATTATTCAACTTTGGAAAAATAGGAGAGAGATCTATAGGAAAAGACTTAGCCTGAATTTCTCAGGGTCTATAGCTGAATGTCTTTATGGAGTTCTTCTTTGTTCCCCCTGAGGAATGTTTCACAATAAAGCACAACACCCCTCGAAGACTTCTGGAAAGGTCCAGTGTAGCCTCAGGACTAGTTTGGCCAGGCCAGGTCAAGCCATATGTTTGGTTTTATTAATATATCTGTCCAAAGAGTGAAATTTCATTATTATGACCCGATAAAGAAAAATTCATCATTCTGACAAAACAAGAACCAGCTGTACTTTTTGCTTTTTAACCTTTCACATTTTTTATCTTCCTCCTGTAGAGATTACAACCAAAAGTTGAACTCTGGTATAATCTGGTTGTAGATAATCTTGTTTATTAAACATTCTGAAGGCTTATCATATAATGATACTCTTCCTTCCATTCCACTCTAAAAATAAGTATTATTGGATCCATTCTGCAACTGAAATCCCACTACACATAGACTTATTTAATTTTCCTCGAGGTAAAAAAAAAAAAAAAATCTACTTGTCCCCCTGTGTTAGACTTGTTTCATAAGGAGGAAACAACAACAACAAAAAGCTTTTAAAGATAATATTCAGTTTTTACCTTCAAGCTCCTAACCAATAGAACCATAATAATGACAGACACTGAAACCATAAAATAAATAAATAAAAACCTGCCTACTCACCACTGTTTAGAACCCCGGCAAAGAAAAGCAACATACTGCATATTTCTCAGCCTAGGCAAACTTCATTTATGCCATTATTTTATCCTCTATACTCCTGGTAATTTCAAATTTGCATCGAAATAAGAAGAAAAATGTCCAATGCAAATTCCTGCCAATATCTGGGAAAAAAATTCTTGCTTCACCCTCAGTATTCCAAGCTTCATGCTCTGATAAGTATGGCCATATGTGTTTCTCCTTGAGAACAGAGAGTTTTTGGACTCAGATTTCTCCAAGGAAGTGAGGCAGTTTGAGCAGACTGGACATGAATAAATATCACTCCTTTGAGTACAAAAAGTCAAAAGAGTTCCTTTGGGTCAGGAACCAGAAAACAAGGGGACTATTTAATAATAATGAATACAAAGGAGATATGGGATAGAGACACTGAAATGGAGCACCTTAGGAACCCAGCTTTTCAAATCTTGTCTAGTAAGGTAGCCACTAGCCATACATAACTATTGAACATTTGAACTATGACAAGAACAGAATTTTTACTTTTTTTTTTTTTAATTAAGATAGGTTTTTGCAAGGTTGTCCATTGGACTTCTGGGCTCAAGTAAATCCTCCCCCTGCCTTGGTCTCCTAAGTAGCGAGGACAACAGGCATGTGCCATTGTACCCAGCTAATTTTTTTTTATTTAAATTGATTAATTTAAATTTAAATGGTCACAAGTAGCTGGTATTTATTCAGAGAAGTTCAAGCTATGCTTCTTACATCATTTTAAAAATTTAACTGACAGTCTTCAGTATAGCTGGTTCCCCACTCTAGACTGCTTAGGTTCCAACTCTCACTCTTGGTCTACCTGTCTGATCTTCTGACCTCAAAACTGTCTTCCTGAGCTATTGTATAGATGCTTTCAGTAAATCTGTGATCCATCACTGCCCAGAAACTCAGGCCTGGAAGAACTCTGGTCTCTCCCCATTTGCTTTTGATAGGAAATTGAGTACATTTTTTAAAAATTAGTGAAAAAGAAAAAAATTAGTGATCTATCAAAAGCCTCCTCCAAGTCTGGGGATGGAGCTCAGTGCTAGAGCACTTGCTTAACATGTACAAGTCCCTGGTTTCAATCCTCACTACTAGAGGGAAAAAAGTCATCTTCCAGTCTAAAATTCTAGGTAAACAACTGACTATTTCTAAAATCATACTGTAATACAGAATATTTCTACTACTCTACGCCTCAACAAAACATGCCCCTGTATCAAAGCATCAAATAGACACCAGGCATTATTTAGCATCACATATCATACAGCTGATTCTCTGAGTCATTAGTCAAAAAGTATACTTTTATCTCTTCTGCTGTTATTCAGAAAGACATTTTAATGCCCAAAGTATTATTTTAATATCTGTCATTCATAGGAAACTCATATATATTCTCATATAATATTGAACTAACTCTTGTCTCCATTGTACATTCTGTTACAGCTATGCCATTTCAAATGCATATCTATTTCTTATTATTGACCAGGTTTTCTACTTTCTCGTCAATAGATAAAAACAGTTTTAAATGCAGTACTAAATTGGTATAGATAACTAAAATGTAGTAAGAAAAAATTTCACAGAAGGATAGGAAATTAGATTCAATGTGTGTCTCACAAAAGAGAGGGCAGCTCAACAAACACTTACTGGTTTAACGTGACATCAAGAATGAATGACGTTCCAAAGGCATCAACCTGGAAGCTGGCCTGGTCAACATGAGTCAACTGCAATATCAAAAAGATAAAAGGCACTCATTAGCCACAGCATTCAGATGAGTAGTATTGCTTATGATTGTTCAAAAAGGTTTACAATATCACAAATGAGAGAGCCAGTTCAACATGGACAGTAAAGGAAAGCATACTAAAGCAAAATTTGCACCTTCTTAGAAGCCAAGTACTCACCAATATGAAGTGAACTACCACCCAATCAAGGAAGCCAAGTGCCCTACTTTTCTGCTTTGTCTCAAGTGGTTAAACATTCCCTTTCTAAGAAGACTTTACTTCATTAATCTTATTCTATATGGAATGACTAGCTGCTCTAAAATTAAGCTTTTACATTCAAAAATGAAAACATGCTCAATTCAAGAGTGAAGTAATATAGTGAATATGATCTACAGACAAAGATACAACCTCTACAAACTTTTTATCATATCTCAAATGCATACTTTAAAAATAACACTTCTGGGCTGGGGTTGTGACTCAGTGGTAGAGCACTTGCCTAGCATGTGTGAGGCCCTGGGTTTGAGTCTCAGCACCACATATAAATAAAATAAAGGTCCATTTACAACTAAAATAAATATATATTCTTAAAAAATAAAATAAAATAAAAATAATACTTCATCTCAAATTCACCAAACCTAATTGCATAGAGGTTTCCATATCTTCCTAAGAAAAAATCTGAACCTCTGCACATCTAATGCAAATATCACTCATCAAAATTTTCTTGGATAAAAATAATCAGTTTTCTATGCCATCTTACAAACTCCCACAGAGAATCACATGGGCACTYTAAAAATATATAATGTCATCAATAACATAATAATAATATATTGAATGATCATGTGTATCCACTGAATATGTATTGAGTGAAATATGTATATGAGTAAGGAAAACTATCTTCTCTCCCCTACCCCCATCTCTGGATCAAATCCAGGGCCTCAGACCTGATAGCAAATTCTCTACCACTGAGAAACAACGCAAACCCTTTTTATTTGAGAAAGGGCCTCATCAAGTTGTCCAGACCTTAAACTTGCAATCTCCCAAGCAGGGATTATAGGGACCACTGCACCCTGCCAAAACTGTCTATTCTGTTTGACTCCCCAAATACTAATAGAAGCTATATCTAAACCATAGGACTATAAACTACTGGAATTTTCATGTGTCTCTATAGCATCCAATTTTCTGAAATAAACATATATAACTCTTATAAAGAGAAAAACATACAAATATTATTTTAGAAAGGAAAACTATCAATAACAACTGTATGTATATAGTATGTGAGGCTGCTCCTGAGAACTAGCACATCATGGAAGACACATCCTAGAATTCAGTGGGGCAAAAAGGGAACCTCAACCACCCCTAGATTTTCCTTTGCAGTAAACTATGGGATTAGGTGAGCAGAGAGAGCTTACTTAACAATGATGAAGATTTTTTGGAAAGAAAGAATAATTCTTCTATTTCAAGCTTTTGGAAGAGACTGGGGTGGAAGAATGTTATACCTCAGTTTCTAACATATTCCCATTCTCTCAAAGAGCCTTCTGAATGCCTCTTAGTCTCATTTGCCATTAACCTTAACTCCTCACTCTTCCTTCACTCTTCCTAACCAACACCAGGTTTTTCTTAATACAAAACTCTTCTCCCCTAATTTCAAAATCCTCCATAATTACCTCCCCAACTCACCCCAGGCATAATGGCCCAGAAGCTCCCAGGCACCCCCTTACACCCCATCTACACTGAGTTCTCTCTTCTGTAGGTCAAAAGCTATGCTTATTCCAACTTTTTCAATGGCTTTTGTTCACTTTTTTTTTTAGTTAGAAATATTTTAATTACAAGAAAATCAAAGGATTGAAATGCAGCAGGCATAAGGAACATATAAACCAAGAAGGTAATAGCTACCAGACTTCTGTCTCTAACTTTTTTTACTGAGGACTTTTCTGAACCAAACCCTTYAACAAGGCAGTTTCCCAGAATCGGCCCTACCCATTTTAGGACCTAGGTCAAGTTCCTCCTTCTAATATCTGCTGTAGCCACCATAACAAAATACTCCAGGCTGGATGGCTTACACTACAGAAATTTCCTTTTTCACAGCTGTGGAGGTTGGAAGTCCAAGATTAAGGTGTTGACAGATTTGGTTTCTCCTGAGGGCTCTTTCTTGGTTTGCACCTGGCTTTCTTCTCACTGTGTACTCACATGGCCTTTTCTATTGGACATACACATCTGATGTCACTTCCTCTTCTCATGAAGACATCAATCCTATGGGACTAGGGACCCCAACTTTATGATCTCATTTAATCATAATCATCTCCTCTTAAAGGCCCTATGTCCAAATACAATCACATTGGTGGTTACATCTTCAACACATGAATTTTGAGGGGACACAATTCAGTCTATAAGACTTCTCTTCCATGGGCTAGGGCTGTAGTTCAGTGGTAGAGCACTTGCCTAGCAAGTGTGAGGCAATGGGTTTAATCCTTAGCACTACATAAAAAATAAATAAAATAAAGGTATTGTGTCCATCACAACTAAAACTTATTTTATTAAAAATTTTATTTATTTATTTATTTATTTATTTATTTATATTTTAGCTGTAGATGGACACAATATCTTTATTTTATTTATTTATTTTTATGTGGTGCTGAGGATCAAATCCAGGGCCTCGCATGTGCTAGGCAAGTACTCTACCACTAAGCCACAACCCCAGCCCCTAAAACTTATTTTTTAAAAATACTTCTCTTCTATGAAGTCTTTCCAACCTCTTTCCCCCCTCCTCCTCCTCCTCCTCCTCCTCACTTCAGGTCAGGGTCACATCACAGCTTCATTACTGACCAGCATTAGGTACTTAAGAATTGTTTTATATATCACCTGGATGCATCAATGAATACAGGCACAGCTATAAATTATCTGCATACCAAAATACCATCTTTCCATCAGGGTTGTTCTTAATGCCATGTCAATGGATGTTGTTCCTTCTGCCTAAAAGCTCTTTGGATCATGTTTTGGGAACAGCCTGAGGAAAGCTCTGCTTACCAGAAGTGATGTCTCAATTAAAATGCATCTCTTCCTCCTTTATTCTTCTTGTATGACTATTATAGCTCTTATCTCAGTCTCCTTTGAATTACAAATGCGAGCATTGTAAATCTGTGGTGAAGAGGGCAGAAAGCCCAAGCTACTTACCAGGGCATCATAATTAGAGCTCAGATCAAGGTAATATTAYATTCTGTTTTGGCAAGGTATTTACTAATTCTGTCTAGTTCTCTTTCTTCTTTTTATATTTTTTATTATTTTAATTTTTATCTTTTTGGTACTGGCTATTGAACCCAGGGGGTACTTTACCACTGAGCTMTAGCCCACAACTTTTTATTTTTTATTTTAGGACAAGGTCTTGCTAAGTTGTYGGGGTTGGACTCAAACTTGCAATCTTTCTACTTCAGCCTCTGAAGTCTTGGGATCACAGGCAACTTCTGTTTTTAATCAACATGTGATAATTACACAAGTTTGTGAGTTTTAGTGTGTTATTTCAAAATATTTACAAAATGGCGCCAATCTAATTAGGGTAATTATATCTCTAGTTCCTTACCACTTCTTTATGTTGGGAGCCTTTGARTTCCTCTCTTCTAGTTCTTAATAAAGTATATAATAGGTTATCATTATAAAGTGGGACTACTGTATAGTGGGACACTAGAATCTATTCTTCCTACCTATTTTGGTACTTATTTATTTATTTATTTATCT